GGAGAGCAACGGATGACTGCATGTTGCGCGGGTGGTATTCGCTGGTTGCCGGACGTAGCGCAGGAATCGCTCGACCGGAGGGAGAGAAAGACGCGGAGGGTTGGTATTTTCTCCCCTATCGTCAGGGTGGCGCGCACGTTTATACACGAAAGGGCCAGTATGCCTCCGCCAGGGGTGCGCGTTGGATCGACTGATTCTCATGGACCGGTATTTCGTAACATTGGCTTCAGTGAAAAGTCTACACGTGTGAATTAATTGAAAATCCTTCATAAGTTGTCAGATTGTCCATGCAGGTGTGTTCTTCCGCTCATTGATCTCTTCATTGAATTGTTGGCATTTCAAGATTAATGTGTGGTTTGTTTTCTTCGTATATATAGATTGAGAATACAGTGTGATGAACTAGTTGATACGCCGTACGTACATTTTATGATTGAATTTCACAGTTGTAACACGTGTATAAACTCTGTACTATAGGGTACAGCAAAAATAGTATTTAATGCACATGTTTGGTATAATATTTTATGTCATTGGGCCCGTAATCTGCGATTCTACCGAACGAGGTGAGGTTAGCATCGCGTGATTATGGGCACCTATGACATGAACATTTATTATTTTTTTGGTGACACCAGTTTTCAACCGATTAACCAAAATTTTCTACATAACTTGGGCTACTGGGAGATGTAAATCGGATATTCTCGGGGATTGGAATGTTCCGGGAAATTCTTCAATTTTCATAAATGAATGCTTCCGTCAAGAAGGCGTATCGATTCGGATGAATGCATTTAGTGAGTTGATAACTCGGAGTATAAGGGATGATGATGAAATAGCGATATCTGGTAGGAGGGAGCATGGAGGGAATATACGGTTATATATGGCTAAACTAAGGAGAACGACTCGAGAAGGTGTCTTAAGTGTCGGTTCGAGGATTTTCGTGAAGAGCTAAGCGTGTATGCCCACTTAACTGTGATAATGTGGACGCGGCATATTGGATTACCAATATCGTTTGGTCTCTGTTAGTCGCATGGTGAAATGCCGAGGGGTTATCTGAAGATGCTGGCGATGGCCCAGTTTGATTGCTTGCCGGTGATAGCTATCTAATATTCGACGTCTGACGTTTCCTGCTAATTTAATTATATCCCACCTCTGCGGTGCTGATTGATCGCAGAAATAAAAGAGACCTCGAGGTCTCAATGATCAGTGATTGCGCACATCGCCGAGGAATTTAGCATAAATTCACCGTAATGTCATATTGTTCTTCAGAATGCTTATCGCAGAACTTGATCCCCCTTATTTTTCCTTCCAATATTCAATTCAATTGCGTTCAATTGGCAAATGGAGAAATAATCAACGAACGATCGCGTGAGAATAATGGCCGCTGATTGAAACGAAGACAATAACGTCGAATAGGAATTGGAGGGGTTGGTGGAATAGAGTGCAAAGGATTTAAAAAATGGGAGAATGTGGGAAGCGAGTGCGACCACCGAGTGGGAACACTCCCTGAACTCGCATTGCGAAACGGATTTCTCATTGGGGAGAAAATACACAAAGCACTTTTTATTCTTCCTCACTACCTTTCAACCAACTGCCCATATCCTCTCGGGGGAAATCTCAAATGTAACACGTTTTTCAATTAAATACTCGAAACCAACATCCACCCTGGAGACTCTCCACAACCGTTATCTCGTCGTGGTTTGAAACTGATGAAAAAGATGAAAGTGCAGTTCAAGTAGAATTCTTGTTTTTCCTTTTTCATGTGATCAAGTCTCAAGGACTTCCTTTCTTCGCTAAATTAATCACAGATACGACTAATTGAACACTATCCAGCTTCATCACTATTCTCTACCTGTTTGGTCCCTCGTCCTGGGAGAATGAAGTCAGTTTTATATTTTCCATTGTAGTAGAGGGAGCCGCAATAATTTTCCATTTCCTTGCCGTTTGGATCCCCATTTATTGCGCATCAGAAATGAAGGCGAAAACTTCACAAAATTTTGTATTTTTCTCAATTGCCTGCCCAGTGAAATGCAGCAATCAATCCTGCCGGTATCCATGTCCATTTATACTTGGGAGAACCTCGCTCCTTTTCTCAAGAGCTTCATGGGATCACCATCCCTTCCTCTTTAATTTTTCAATCGATTAGTTGATCAATATGAAGAAACTTTGAAACTCCTCAATACTACGCGGAAGCTGTCCCGGAATGACTCAATTGAACGTTCAGTCGTGTACGCCGCATCCTCTCAAGGGGCTCATGACGGGGAGATCGCGATGGAATATCGATGCATTTCTAACTTTTCAGAACATTTTTCTTCAATGACACTTGGCCAATTCCGCGACGAGAGTGAGGCGTCACTTGCAGAATCTCAAAAATCTTCGCTATTGAAATTACTTCAATACTTTTGGTCTATTCGAAAACACATATGGGAATCAATGCGTCCAAAGCAATAAAAAAAAAAATCAGTTATTTCGATACTACGATATAGCATTTTCTGTTGCAATTGAAAATAAATTTTCATTTGAATTTTGATTCAATAAATGATAAGATTTAATGTGTTTTTATCATGAGTACCTTATCCTCAGATATTGGCCATATTATAGTCTCTGTAGTTGATAAAACGGTCCGTTCTGTTTTCTTTTAAATCGGTATAAAAATTGAGCATCATTATTTTCATATCCAGAGAGTATTCATTCATGCGGAAAATTCGAAAGTATCATCTAACCGGTGGTCCTCTCGAAGGGATCTGCACCATTAATAGATTTCGGTTTAAATCGAAAAAAACAAAACGTTCGCAGAAAAAATTAAATGCGGCACCGTTAAAATGCTAGCTTTTCAAACATCACGGGGAAATTGATATCGTCGCTGTGTATAAAGAATAACATATCGCAGGTAGGATATCACCTCGCAGAGAAAGCAACTCGAAGCCGATTCCCCTAAAAAAAACGAGGAAATCGAGTAACGAGATACAGGGTTCCGCTGGAATTCGTGTGATACCGATTCAGTTCCAAATTAAAGATATAAAAATGGATGCGAAAAGTAGGATGGTTAGCGAATCAAACAGAAAATGAAAATGTATTATCTGAATTATTTCGTATTCCATGATATGTTGAATCTGAAATGAATGACCACTCTGATTCATGACTACCCATTCTAATAATCATTAAAAAAATTGGGTCCGAACTTTCTCGAAACAAAAAGAGTCGAGCTCGAAATCCATATTACATCAAGGCTCCCCACCAGTACGATAATTGATATGTAGCAGCGCGAGAGTAAAAAGTGTCTGTTTTTTTTCGTTTGAAATTTTTCTCCCGTTTCGTTTCCCTCTAGCCCAACAATCGGCATAAAAAACAGAATGATTTCCTTGGCACGTCAAATGGCAGGCTTTTTTTCGTTTTCAACTTTGCAGTATTGTCAGCCTATGCATACATTTTTATCTCCCAGTATACCACCATCTGTTATTTTTAGCGCCTCGGGTACTTCGGACTAACACTCGCACGTACTGCTGGAGCTCTGGTTTCGCCCGACGATAGCTTCAAACAATCGTCCGGTATTCGGAGAAATTCCCTTCAACTCTTGGAATATAGCAAAATGCGGATGGAATACATATGCAGTCCTCCGGAAATCCACTGTGTTTCAAAATTCGAGGGTGAACCCGGGTTACGCGATCCTCTCGGTTCAGTTCACGTCTACGGAGAAAAATATTCAATAAAAATCACGTATGCAAAATTACGATGCCCTCACTTAAATTTTTCGAGTCGATTCCGTAATTGCCAAGCGAACTGAAAGTTCCGCAATTTTTTACAAAATATTTCTCTGAGTGTAATGTTTCTTTCGGGGAATGCACTGACGATGACGTAATCGAAGGGCTTTAATGTAACTAAGGGCGGATTACATTTTGGAATTAAGTAGTAGAGTAGCTCTGCAGTTTTTCCAGACAAAACCAACCAAAAATTCCGTCGCCTTTTTTTGGCTTTTTATGAATGATTTTTCGCAAACGGATGGCATGACCACAGCATGATTGATGCTGCAGTTAAAAGACCTTCACGTGACGTCTAGAAAACCAATTAGAAAATGTTTTTAAAAATATTCTCTCACAGAAAATGTTTCCAATAATTTTGCTCTACTTAGATGAGCTTACCGTAATTTTCGCCGTAAACCTACCTTTGAAATTTTCGCAGTTTTCCAATTACCTGCAAAGTGACAAGTAATTCATTAAATTTTATGATGCCTTCTTCCAGAAATTCCAATGAATCGTTTTAATTGAAAACTTAATGACAAAAGGAAAAGAATACTATTTTTTGAAAAGGTGCTGAAAGTGTGAATTTCATTATAAAATCCCAGTGATTACTGCTGATTAATTACATTCAATTTCTTTTTCTACGGGGAGTACCCATGAGTGAAGGGGACGCGTAATTTACGGATTGTTCGCTAATTTCCCGATGTCATACATTTTCAATACGCAAGAAATACCGAGCAGCTGCGATTGGCGTGAGCCAGCTTGCGCTGACTTCAAAATCCCTCGTTTTTCACACGCCCAATAGCATGTTCACGTCGATATCACCAAGAGTGCTGGCGATAGTAACCCAAACCCCTTCCCCCACTCTTCCCAATTTGACACATATACACAATATAACCCAAACTAACTGAGAAATTTCCTCTCGTTTCTTTTCGCCCACAGAGTAACAGCATCCCGTAGAACGTCCTAACGGCCCTTCCGTGGAAAGTAGTACGAGCGTTATTTACGTCAGGCGACGCGAGTAGAAAACACACAGTGAGGGTTTCTTCTGAAAGAGTGAACTGGTGAAGAAAGAATCGAGGATTTTTCCTCAACGTTGCAACCAGAAAAATGAATCATTCTGCACCCGAGTTGTTCAAATTTCCCGTGGTGATTAAATAGTTCCGATGCATTTTCCGAAATCCCAACTTCTAAGAGTCGCAATCGCACATTTCTGGAAAATTTACGAATACCAAGGACTTGTCTGTGAACTTAAATTCTGTCATCAATGCCCATCAAATAGGTCATCGAAAATTCTAGATGAGTCTACAATCCTGAGAGATGCAGAAATGCAGATCCGGTGCTGAAAGAATTGAATTGATTTCATTCAGTGGTTTCCGAGAACGTTTGAACGTTGCGTAAAGGCAAAACAGCTTCAGTAAATAGGGTGTTTATGTGTGTGAGTTAGTGCACGATTCAGTGAGCAAAATGTGTTGTTCTGGAGGCGCAAGCGGTTCGAGGATGACCCGATGTGGGGTAGTTTGTGGTCTAGCAGCGTTGGCAGCACTCACCACTGCCCTCCTCGGGCCAGCCTGGCTTCATACTGAGGAAAAACTATCGCTTCCCCATCTGCCGCGACAGTTCGCCGTTACCGTCAGATTCAAGCTTGGCCTGTTCAAAGTATGCCCGAAGATCGTCAAGCCACCCAATATAACTATACGTGAGTACATTACAATCTTCCAAATCATATATCAATTGTTCCAAAGAGCAATAAATTTTCGAATATTCAAGTCTAAAACTCAAGACTGTACGTCCGGAATAAATATACTTGATTCTAATATATTCAACTTCAATGCGATATCCACAAAAAATAGACACCCCTACGATTCTGTTATTTATTATAAATAAATTGAATTATATCGAAATATTGCTTTTTAATATCTACATTCAACATTTTAATCCGTTGCATTAACCCACACTATTCCAATGAATCAGCAATAGACTCAGTACGGAGAATCCCAGAGAAACTTTATGAATTCATTATAAATTAACTAGAATAACTAATATTAATTAAGTTCTAGAAACTGTCTAAAAGTTATCAGAATCATTTACAGCATTGAAAATGAAATATAATGGAGTCAAGTATAAAATATATTTGAAATAAGTACAGAACATACTTGATTCAAGTTCATTTTCTAAGGCATTTATTATTCACTAACCTCTCCTATCCCTTGAACTGGTAAGACAATGCCAGAGGAGAATGATATAAAAACGAAAGAGAATTTCGATGTTCCACACAGCAAAGCCTTTTCCATTGAAGAAGACGTTGACACTTCCGTTTTATCGCTGTGCTGTCTTTCTACTCGTTCACTTTACCAGCGAGTTTTTTTGACTTCTTACCCTCCCCACTCCCATTTACGCCTCCATTTCATCTCGTGAATCTCTCGCTCCCGTTTTGTATCACGAAGGACTGGAAACAGAACAAGTGCGAAGCAACCAGAAGGAAAAGAAAATGTGATAAGAAAATTCACTCGAAAAGTCTCAAAGGCAATTATGACACTGCGACAATAAGAAAATATAATAGTGAGGGTGCCTCGAGAATTTCTCGTCACCTTCTTACAGCTTTCAGGGAGAGGGACGTGAAAGAGAAGGACGAGAGTGAAAATGTGCATCAAGAGGATAATTCCTGAGGGGAAACTGCAGTTTTGATGTTCAATGAACATAATTTCTCGTTGCAATTGTTTTCTACGGCCGTTTTCAGAATTCTCAAGAGTATACACATTTTCCATTTTTTTCTTTATCAACCGCATTTTCTGATCATCTATAATAGAGAATCAGAGAATATCACGGAAAATTTAGCGGGGAATATTTTTTTTTCAACTGAAATTATGAATTTTCCTCGTTTTGTTTGAATGCCAGACAATTAAAAAATTGCATTGCGATGATCGAACGAACTACTGATCTAACTACTTCCGAGGGAAGTTGAGTGGGACAGCGGAACCGAAAAACTATTTGTCAAAGCGAAAGAAAATAAGAGTCAAATCAGAGCGGAGGGGAAATGGAAGATAAAGGGCTGATGGAGTGGGGTATGGTACGATATTGTGTACCAATTGATAAATGATTCAAAACGGAGTTTTTGGGGGGAAGACAACGCCTCTGGGCGCGATATCTTGCTTCATCTCCAACGATCTCTCGGGTATTTTCCGCCGTGGCCTCGATAAGGCGTCTCACCAATGAAGACAAATCGTCGGCGTCCCGAAGTTTTACCACCGGTGTAATTAATCGATCGGTAGCTGTGTGTAACGAGACGCTCGTGCGTCCCGACGCTCCTAAGACAGATGATACAACGTATCGTTGGAACACCACTTCTATGTTATTGCGGTATTTTTACCATGGAAATTTAACCTCTCAGTCACTTACTTCATCCTATAGAATGAATCATTATTGATAATTCCGTATTTTGGCCTATACGCTCCATTAGAGAGCATTTCATTTGATTTGATTGATTAACTGAGCGAGGAAGTCTTCTTCGGGGATTACCCGGGGGTTGTTGTACCCGGAGTTCTTCGTGAAGAAGATGTTGTGAAGGGACTCCATATATCGCTGCCATGTCCGTGAATTTTTCTGGGGGAAAGTCCCGGGGGAAGAACATTTGGGGAAATGGGTCGCCCAACGGTGACACTTCACCTACTCTTATTATTATTATTTTATTAATATATTTGGAGCAAAAAAGGGGAGGGGGAGCTTAACATGAAATATGTCACATATAATTATTAGCATATATTGTTTTTTTCGTGGGGATGGTCAACGAGTGTTACAAAATTACCAAAAACAGGGCGAGGAAGGAGGATCAAAAGTTGAGACTTCACTCTCAGAGTGACGCAGTATAATCGGATCAGTCGCTGATGTTGAGTTATTGACACTAACGGAGGTGGACCGCGAGATGGCATATCCGTGGAAAAATAATTCGCGGAGACCCGTGAGTCTCTAGAATTCCCCTCGGCCTTTTATTTTGTTTTCGTAAGACCTTCGGTGTGGGTAGACAGAATATAACCGAATTAAATTCCAAAGTTCTGCTATATAGAGGTCCAAGCGTGTCTGCTCTCGTTGCTCATCCCCTAGGAGTGGTTGGAAAAATGAGAAACAGGGAAAGTCTCTTACAAAATCTCGTACGCTGCAAGGAGATAACACTTAAAAATTGGAGGCGCTTTATCATGATTCCAACGTCCGGGATAGTTCAGTAATTTTGATTAACGCGAGTTTGACTCATATCGACTTTATTTCATTCGCGAAAAAGACAGACAATATTAAATTTTATTCTCAAAAAATGGCCACTCCGAATTTTTTGCGAGACAATTTCAAAAAAATTAAATGAAATGGCAATCCAGAAATGTGGAAGCGGAATTAATGTCAGGGAGTTCTACAATTTTTTACTCCCCAAATATTTTTTTTCCTCGTTACTCACCCTCGCCAAATTTCCGGTGAATTCAGAAACGTCGGCGGGCCTAGGCATTATTCATACTCCCGGAATAATTTCCCTCCCAGGACGACGATGAGAGTCAGAGGCCAGTGAAAATCGCCAGAGGCTGTGTTCTGAATTTTTAGATTATGCGCCATGGGGAAAAAACTGGAATTTCCACTTTCTTTCCAGCTCACGTATCTTTAATCCACCATATCTATCCCCTGAATGTTCGTCTCGTATAAAATAATCGTCGATTGTTTATGTCCCATCGTATAACTCAACTTACAAAGATCCCTGATAGAGTATATTCGCAGATCACAACAGAAAGCATCACCCTGGCAGGGGACATTGAAAATGAACTTTCACATCACCACATTCTTCTATTTTTTGCCGATAGATCAAGGAATATTGAAGCCGTAAGCGTGAGAGTCATGGAGAGAGCACATAATGAACTTATTGACTCTCAATTACTACTAGACCAATTTAAATTGAAACATATCCACATAATCTCCCACCCCATTCATTGCCGTAAGTTACCGCTGTTTTCCTTTTTTTTCCTGGTTTTCTTTTTATAACTGAAAATTATCACTCTGGTGCGCAAGCTCGGCCCAACGCCAGGGGCCTCGATATTTTTCTCTTATTTTCTTGTTGAATAACAGAAACAAAAAAAAGAGAGCGATATAATCCTCGAGTATGGTCTCCCGCAGCGCATCAAAAAGTTCGCGTCAAAACGTTTAATCCATTCTATATAGAACAAATGGCGTGAGGAAAGGCCAAATAACAAAGCCATTCACCATCTCTGTTCACATTTCAGCTACGAGTCGCGGAGGCGGGGCATTTCCAGTTGAAAAACCATTTTGAGTGGAATGCAATGGCATTACAATGCTTATGGAGGAAAAAAACAATGGGAACCGCAGGATTACTGTGATCCGAGTCCTATGCTGATTTTTTTTTTAAAGCCGAGAATGATTCAGAATTTTGCATTCTTTTTCGTATAAAATACAGAATCGTCGACCCATAAGAAAATATTCTATTCTGGTGTGTAGAAAAAAATTCGGTAATACTCCGAGCTACTCGATCTTTCATAAATGACGAACGCTTCGTTTCATCAAAACCTTTATTTATTTATTAATTCTTAATGCGGTACTCTTAGAAAGGGGCGACGATCAAAATTGGTCGAGAAATAAAATATTTTATAGTACTTATTTACTATTAACTGATGCTGTATTACTCGAAGAATAGTTCAACTAAAATTATCAACATCTTTTCTGATATTATTTTCAATACTCCAACCTTTTCACATCTCTTTCAAATTTTTCCTTTCAAACCATAAATAATACCAGCACTTCATGAAATTATTTCCCAACTAAGCAGATGTTGACACGCTTGTTAAAGTCAAGAAGGGACTCACTACACTTGTTGAAAAATTCTGATTGCGAGTCAAGTTTCCAAGATGAAGTTGTCAACCCCTCAGGATTAAAAATACGAAAGTATGTAACGAGATGCGAAATTTCCTTACTGAGGATGTTGCAGTAGACGTTAGCGATGTGGCCGCCACAGATCAGTGCCACCCGATACTGAAATTCAATCTATTTCGTTACAGTTTGCCCAGAAACTGCACCGCTTTTCCCTTCATCGTTCGTCTGAGATATCATTGTGTATATATATGCACGACCTAAATGCAATCACCTGGGAGCTAGAACGAAGGTTATCAAATAAAACCAGTTGTTGCGATGCAAACAGTCTCTTCTTCTGTGTGAAAGCAGTTTTTAGTATGTAATTTATTCATTATTAATATTATTTTATTATAATTATTATTTTATTTATTGATCTCCTTCTTGATCACTGGCGAGCATCGTCCACCGACACTTGATTGTTTGATCTCCAACCAATATGTTGGCACCCATCGATCCAATGATGTTCGGTGGAGTGATGTTGGTCCAATGGTAAAGCCGCGATCTGTTGAATAAATATTCGTTCGTCCATCATTGACCAGTCATGGGCCCTATGTAGCTTTCCTAATATCCGTCACTTAAAGTAATCTTTGAATATAATGAAATTATGATTAACATTAAACAATGGAATCTGTTGAAATTTCATTGGAATCGTCATTCATTGAGACTAGGTGAATAATAATTGAGAAAACTTGGAAAAAGAGGCATTTCCTATAAATAAATGTGATAAAATAAATATAACTAATATCAAAACGTTGTAATCCTTGAATCCATTCCCATGCAACCTGCTCCAGAATTTTTTCA